ATAATGTCCTCTACAGTGGACAAAACTCCATAGCTGGTAGTCAGGAGGATATTTATACTTATATATATACACTTATATATATACATATATATATTTATATTTATTTAATTATTTTTTTTTATTATTTCTAACATTGTGTGTTTTATTAGATTGCCAATGTATATCAGAAATAGTTAAAAATATCTTCTTATTTTTTAATGAGCAGGAACCACCACGTCCTGAGTTTGTTGCCATGGCTCCTGCAATGGAGGAAAACCCAGTGACAGGAGTAAAGGAACCCTACTTTCCTGAAAAGGCCCGGATTTCACGCATGCTGACCGGCTCTATGGTCATTGTTATAATGGTGAGACCCACTGGAGTTGTCAGAAGTTTAATGGAGCTACAAAATTTTAATTGGCCTGTTAGAGGGGAGATAATATGTCATAATTGTCACCCATAATTGTTCCTCTTTCTCTCAACTTGTTTTCCCAGCTGTGTGTAGTGATGATCTTCTTGGTCACAGTGATCATATACCGCAGTATAGTGAGCGTAATGATGTTTGAAACTGGGAGTTCTGTGCTGCGTACTCAGGTGGGCACCCCATCGATCTGCATTAAATTAAAATATAAGATAACTTACCATACTGCTCCATTTCATTAATCTCCTCCACACCTGCAGTAGCTCTTGAACTCTGAATCCACTGCGCACACACATTTTTTTTTCTTCCAGGCTGGGAATATTGCCAATATCTCCAGCAGTTTGGTGAACCTGGCTTTGATCTTGCTGATGGGGCAGGTCTACACAGCCCTGGCAGAACAGCTCACTAAATGGGGTAGGCTTTCTGCACACATCAGACCCCATAAAGCAATACAAGCCCAGGGCTTTAAATCAAATCAGGCCAGTGTTGCCGTTTTGTGTGGTTCAGGGTAATGAACCTGCCCATCCACACTTGCTTTGAGAATCAATAAGCCATTAGGACTCTAGTCCTTAGTTCTACTTTCTGTGGCAGTTACAATAAAGCTTTGAGACACATACATGCCATCAAATAAGTCTAATTTGTCTTGTTTCCCCAAATAAGGCTCTTTCTGAAACATTTTTCCCTACAGAAATGCACAGAACACAGACACAATATGAAGATGCCTTTACATTCAAAGTCTTCATCTTCCAGTTTGTCAACTTTTACTCGTCGCCCTTCTATGTAGCCTTCTTCAAGGGCAGGTAACCTTTTAAATTAACCAGACCAAAGCATTTTGTGCCATAATTGTCCAGATCAAAGCTTTCAGTGCACTTTTATTGTTTTTTTTTTATTGCAGATTTGTGGGCTATCCTGGTCATTATGGCACACTGTTCGGGATGCGGAACGAGGATGTGAGTGCTTTGCCTTCAGTTTTATGATTACAGATTAGCGGTCATTACTCAACAATATTTTGTAAAAAGATCGCAAATCAGAGTCATGTATTCAAGACAGGCTTTTAATAAAGGCAAAACATCCACAATAGGTTACACTGTATTTGTAGCTTTTTCAAAACAGAAGTAGTTTTCCTGTTTACCGTTGAGACATTTGGTGTCAGTAATATTTCTTTTTTAAGAAAATAATACCTTTATTTAGCAAGGCATTAAATTGTGCAAAAGTTACAGTAATTTCCAGTGAATGCTGTTTATTTGAACTTTCTATTCATCTTCAGCATTGATAATAACAAGAAATGTTTCTTGAGCACCAAATCGGCCTATTGGAATGATTTATGAAGGATCATGTGACACTGAAGACTGGAGTAATGGCTGCTGAAAATTTAGCTTTGCATCACAGGAATAAATTACATTTAAAATATATTAAAATAGAAAACAGGTGTTTTAAATTAATAATATTTCTCAAAATGTTTTTTTTACACTATATACAGTGGGTACGGAAAGTATTCAGACCCCCTTAAATTTTTCACTCTTTGTTATATTGCAGCCATTTGCTAAAATCATTTAAGTTAATTTTTTTTCAATAAATGCAGCATCTGTGAGAATAAGAGATTTATTTCAAAAATATTAATGACTGTGCATGTGTGGTTGCAGTGCGGACCAGGAGGTTGTCTGATAGAACTGGCTGAGCAGCTCTGCATCATCATGGTGGGAAAACAACTTATCAACAACATTCAGGAGTTTGTCATCCCGTACGTTTCTCCCTCAGTGCCTGACTAGTCATATTTATTGGAGCTGCACATAAAAGCTTATTCTATTGTAGAGCAAACCACACTTGAAGACTTCTTAAGTCTCAACACTGCAGAATCCAAATTATTTTATTTGGTCCTCTGAGAAAAGCAAGTCAGCAGTGTAGGTCAGTGCTGCAGGGTTGGCACAGCAATCTTCTGTGGAGGTGTGTATGTGTGGGTCAGGCTTAGCCTACATTGTGGAAAACATATTGAATAATTAATAAACATTCTAATGAACATCTTAAACTGCAAAAGCATTTCTGTGAGGGTTAGATTTATGGGTAGAGGAGAGAAAATATTTTATTTATAAAACAATAGAAGTCCCTACAATCATAGATGGGCTGTGTGCTTTCATGCAGCAGTACGAGAATAAAAATACGTACATGTAAGCAAGAATAGCTGTTTTTACTGACTGATTTGTATATTGATTCATCTGTAGATATCACTGTAGGGTGCAATGAGCAGACAGATGACTGCATCACTGCCAATACTGCAGCACGTCTCTCCTCTAAGGCGGCAATTCTAGTGGTTTAGCAGAATAAATGTGACACAGGAGAAGCTTTTAGCACTCCCTTATCAATTATGCTTCACCAGAGTCAAACTCGGGCAAAACCGGATCTTCCAAATGAGCACAGTTCTATTTTAGACCTAGAAATAGCCTCAGAAGAGCCATCATCATTATCATCAACAGAACACCGTGTCTATTGCTTTAGTTGTCTCATTCTCTCTTTCCCTCTTTCTGCTTTTCAGTAAAATAAAGGCTTGGAGACAGAAACGGGCCTTATCATCTGTGAAAAAGGCCCAGAAGGCAGAGGAGCCCAAGCGCTGGGAGCAGGACTATGAGTTGATTCCATGTGAGGGGCTTTTTGACGAGTATCTGGAGATTGGTAAGATGATAATATTTCTCTTTTTAATGAGATTTTTTGTTCCAAGTTTCTGTCAAAAAATGTGTAGCTACTGACGCTGGAACATCATGGACCTCATTTCTTGAGGGGCACCAGCAGTCCCGGCTCACTTGGTGTACTAGACAAGACAAGACATGACAAATAAAAAACATTTCTAACAGCCTAGATCGTTATATAAGAGTAAGTACACTACCAGTCAAAAGTTTGGGGTTAGTAAGTTAGTAACCCAAAACTTTTCAGCAGTAGTATTTATAATAGTGAATTTCTTGTCATAGTCATTTCTGCTAATGTAGCATATTTTTACCTTACTGTAATCATGCAACTTATTATAAACTTTAAATGGATGTTACATTTCTGTACAGATGCTCTTGCTATGCTTGTAATAAACTTAGACTATTTGATCTTCATTGCTGCCAGTCCTGCAGTTTGGCTTCATCACCATTTTTGTGGCGGCCTTTCCTCTGGCTCCTCTCTTCGCCCTGCTGAATAACTGGGTGGAAGTGAGGCTGGACGCTTATAAGTTTGTGTGTGAATATCGGAGACCCGTGGCAGAGCGAGCCCAGCACATCGGTGTGTGGTTCATCATACTGGAGGCACTGTCCCACGTGTCTGTCATTGTCAATGTGAGTGCCTACAAAAATGAGTAATATTTTTTGATACTTAAGGTATCAAATCAGCAAAATCTAGGTGGAATTTTTCAGTAAAAAATACTCCATTGTCAATAGTGATGTATGAAGCACAGCTCACACAGATGTGAAGCCGCTTTCTCATGGTCAGCACGACAAATTCACATGACCAAATTGAACACAAGCAAAATAAGCGTGGGGAACTTTTTCACAAGTACACTTAACTCCTGATCACACAGGTTCCAATTAAAATAACTGGCATGCTAAATTTCAGAGTAACAGTTAATGTGACCGCACATTTAGTGTGATATTGAACATTTTTGTTTTGTGACATACATAAATGACTTGTCTTGTTACGTTACATTAATCCAACATTATTTTTAACATCTTGTGAGGTTTCAGATTTGCTTGTGATTTTTTATTTTTCCCCACAGGCTTTCCTCATTGCATTTACCTCAGATTTTTTGCCTCGCCTGTTGTACCAGTACAAGTTTAACAATGACCTGCATGGTTATGTCAACTTCACGCTGGCTTACTCTCCACCCAGTTATAACTACTCCAGTCATACTGTGTGCAGGTAACATTGCTAATGCCGTTTTCTAGTGCAGGAAATCTGAATATATCAGTTTTGCAATGTGAACTTGCAAAAATATGTTTTTTCTCTTATTTCAGGATTAAAAAAAAAAAAATCTTTATTGTATTTTGTATTATTGTATTATCTTGTTTCTCAGGAGTGTCCTGGCTGTTGTACAGTTTTGCGGTAGAGGGGAAAATTGTTAATCAAAGCAGTGAACTGTAAAATTGTAGCTGTCAGCACTGTTCGATTTTCTTCTCTTGTGGTCTTTTTTTTTTTTTTTTTTTTTTTTTTTTTTTTTTTTCTGGGGCCTTTTTTTTTTT